GGGTGAAGGAGGGGTAATCATTCTATAAGCCGGTGTTCCCCACCAAATTGCCATTCAGTTGCATCGAACTTAAAAAGTATGGACAATTTCGCAAGAAATGGACGCCTAAAAATCCAAATTCGACCTAAAAATGGCCCTCTGAAAGGAGACCAGTGACAAATTTAGTCGCAATATCGACGTTAATTCCACGAAAAAAACAATTTTTCTTTTAATTACTGTTAAATACTCATAAGAATCTAACAATTTTACTTTCCATTACTCTTAGGTACTCATAAGAATAAAAAACAACTATCTAACCCGTTACCCCAGATCACTCATTTGACTTTTGAGGCTACGTTTGCATATTGAACCAATCGATATCGGTACAATCTCACCTGTTTGCTGTATCGAATAAAATCCATAGAGAATGGAGACATTCCGCACAACAATTCACTGTAGTATACACCACCCTCCTATGCCATTTTTTCATAATACACACTTTACCGAGTTCCACCTACGGTTGTTTCTTCTGGCCGATTCGACGATTCGTGGCGCTGGGGCTGGTGCGGCGCCGCGACTACGTTCACGCGTGAGGGCACAATGTCAAATTCCTGTAGCTACCTGCGCCGGGTCACGGGTCAAATGCATTCTGCCACGCAGCAAAGTTGACAGCTTGTGCAGGTATAGCCACCGGCAACTCAATGTTAAATAAACATATTTACGCAACCAATTTGACAACCTCGTCCGCGAGCCGAGTACGAGGGGTCACCGCAGTACGAATGCGTGCTTTTTACATTCGATCCCACTGTACGCCTGACCCGGCGATTTCTTCACAGGCCCCGGCCAAGTCGGCCAATCAGTGGATCGAGGTGCTACGAATTGAAAGCTCCGTCGTCATATCAATGAATATCGATAATCGCCTCATGATAGAGTACCTTTCTACACGGTGCGGGTACGAACACCTGGCCCGGCGGCCCCGTGCAGACTCTTTCGGCCCCGAAAATGACCGCAGCCTCAGATGGAAGCCGGATTTGTTGCCAACTTTCCACGCATTGGCGGATCCAGCAACTTGGCAACACCAGATTTCGTCCATTTAAATCTATGGAAATGTATCGATGTATTTCCTAAAATTTTCATCATGGATGCTTCAAAATGCGTCCAAATAGAGTTTAAATTTCAAAATTTTTCCGGATCTATTCAATGCAAAACTTCGAAAGAATTCATTGCTGAAAATAAAAAAAAATAAACGTCATTTTTCGGCAGAAATTAATGGAAAATCTTCGTCATGGAGGCCTCAAAATGTGTCTAAATAGAATTAATATTTCAACAATTTTCCAGGGAAGACCCCCCGGTGATAGGGGGGGGGGGAGACAGCCCCCCCCCCCCTAGCAAAATGACCGAGGTACACCTGTAATCGACCTCTGTATCGAATGCGACGGCGGGAGTTTTCCCCGTCATGAATCCTGCACTAATTTCTCTGAATTTTGTAATTTTTTTGGTTGACAATGGTGCTTTAGGCTCATGAGCAGCCCGGTTGATCGTCCTCTTCTGGGCTAAAGTTTTAAAATCTGTTAAGATTTTTGACAGTATAAATCGGTTGACCTGACAGAGAGCTTAACTCCCTTTTCTTTTTGAACAAATGATTTACTTAAACGGTCGTATTCGTAGTAGAAGGGCGTATGAGGCTTGCAATGCTGCTGAGATATTGTGACATTTTTTAAAGCGCTTGTAGCAGATGAAATTCATTTACAGTCGACTTACTTCCGTACAATTGTGAGGAAAAATTCGGAGCAGATTCAGGGAAAAATTCATGGTAGAACTGTCAGATAATTTACTTAAATTAGAGAACCACGTTGCACAATCTTTGCAGCATTGAAAGTCTCATACGCTTTTTCACCGAAAAATGCCTCAATTGTCAATTTTATGCTCATTCGAATTTAATCGGCTCGTGCGAAAACCGCTAATGTCCATTTTCTCTAATTTTGAGAGAACTGCAAAAAACTGTAGGAGCCTTCAAAATACGGAATTAAAAAATGTTCAGTAGTTAATTATTACAGGAGAAGATTGTAGAAAAGGATCCCTAACAGTTTCCAGCTCCTCCTCTGTCTGGGACGGAATAATTAAAAAGAAAAGACTCTGGACATTAGCGGTTTTCGCATGATTCGTGAAAATCTCCGAGTTTTGGAGCCGTTTGATACTTTCAAAATTCAATCTAAAGATATTAAAACGGTATATTATCATTCAAATAAAGTTGTAAAACTAAAATTCTTGACAATTGCGGCACTTAAAGCAAGTTTCATCACGAAACTACCAGCAATAAACTGGACATTAGCGGTTTTCGCATGATTCGTGCATGGTCGGTTCTAAATAATCGAAAACGCATATTTTTCAGTATGCCTTTCGGGTAAAGAAGGTTAGCCCCTACGTATTTTGAGGCGCTGAATCCGAATATGACCTCCGTTTTTTTCCATCACCCTCCAATTTTCCGGAAAAGCCGATTTTACTAGGAAAAATGACCATTTTTGGGCATTTTCAGTGTTTTTCCGACTGTTAGCCCCTACAGAATGTAGATAAATTTTTCGTAGCTACGAGACTCAACTATCCCGATGTCTTTTTAACTGATGAGTCCGGAAATGACCTTAATTTTTCCCGTTCACCTCTCAGTTTTCCGGGAAAGCAACCTTTTCCCGGGAAAATGAGCAAATCCAACGCATATTTGTCGTGAATGCATTTTATTTTTATACATTTTCCTGGACCCGTGGTAGTCTGTTACTTATGTATTTTGGGCTGCTAAATCCGAATATGACCTCGATTTTTTTCTATCACACTTCAGATTTCCGGTAAAGCCGAGTTTTCCGAGCGTAAAATTGTGTATTGTAAAAGCTATGCGGGATTGAAGTGTATTCAAAATTCATTGTATAAATGTCTCCAATATGTGATACATCGATTCCTTTGTATTTTGATCTGTTGAATTCAAATATGATCTCAGATTTTTCCGATCACCCATCATTTTTCCGGAAAAGTCGATTTTCCTAGGAAAACGCTCTTTTCAGATATTTTTGCGGTGATTTTTCTGCTCGACGGTCTTTCAGAAATTCTCCGGTGGGTGATAATGAATTTCTAAGGTCATATTCGGGGTTTTTAGGTCAAATTACATGAGAATTGATGTATCACACATGCGAATAATGTTTTGAATTTCCCTGAAAGTGGGAACAGTCCGGAAAAGCTTTTGGCCCGGCAAAATCGGACCTTCTAGAAAACGGGAGGGGGTGTCAAAGATGAGTGAAGGTCAAATTCGAGTTCAGTGCCTCTTAATACAGCAAGAGAGACCAAAAGAGGATCTCGGAAAATTTCTGAAAGTCCTTGGAGCAGAAAAATCATCGCAAAAATATCTGAAAAGAGCGTTTTCCTAGGAAAATCGACTTTTCCGGAAAAATGATGGGTGATCGGAAAAATCTGAGATCATATTTGAATTCAACAGATCAAAATACAAAGGAATCGATGTATCACATATTGGAGACATTTATACAATGAATTTTGAATACACTTCAATCCCGCATAGCTTTTACAATACACAATTTTACGCTCGGAAAACTCGGCTTTACCGGAAATCTGAAGTGTGATAGAAAAAAATCGAGGTCATATTCGGATTTAGCAGCCCAAAATACATAAGTAACAGACTACCACGGGTCCAGGAAAATGTATAAAAATAAAATGCATTCACGACAAATATGCGTTGGATTTGCTCATTTTCCCGGGAAAAGGTTGCTTTCCCGGAAAACTGAGAGGTGAACGGGAAAAATTAAGGTCATTTCCGGACTCATCAGTTAAAAAGACAACGGGATAGTTGAATCTCGTAGCTACGAAAAATTTATCTACATTCTGTAGGGGCTAACAGTCGGAAAAACACTGAAAATGCCCAAAAATGGTCATTTTTCCTAGTAAAATCGGCTTTTCCGGAAAATTGGAGGGTGATGGAAAAAAACGGAGGTCATATTCGGATTCAGCGCCTTAAAATGGATAAAGATCACCTAATGTCGTTCAGGAGACGTTTTTTATTTTGGATTGTTGTACAGTATAATGAGGCACATAACGAAAGATGGACATTAGCGGTTTTCGCATGATTCGGACCACGGCCCCCCCTGAAAAGGGCTTCACACCTAAGGAACAAACACTTTTCACCACATTACTGAGTGTGTCTGACCTCCGAGAGTATTTTAATCCAAAAATCTCAAAATTGAAAAAAATGGACATTAGCGGTTTTCGCACGAGCCGATTCAATTAGTTCGCCTTCGATAACTTGAGTAGGCAATATAGGAGGCTTAGGAGCAGTAATAATTGCTTGCAGCAGTGTGGACACGTTTAGTCGGGCTCGGCATATCATTGGCGGACCATTAATACTTAAAGTATACCTAGTATTTTGTGATCATTAGGACCAGTTTGCCTTCAATAATGTGAGTAGGCAATACGACTGGCTTAGGAGCAGTAATAGTTGCTTGCAGCGGTTCGGGCGTCTTTATTTGTCTTGAAGCTTTACACTATTCTCCTGACCAGATTACCTTCAATAATTTAAGTGAGTAATTTTAGAGGTTGTGGTATAAGTTGGGGTATTTTAGTCAAATGCATACTTACATCTAATGCTAGTTTCTAATATTGGCCAGCAGTTTCCTTTCTATATTGCTGTTCACTTCGTTACAAACTAAAAAAATAAAAAAAAATCACTCAAGGATGAGATTTGATGACAGTTTGAAATATGATAGGTGCATATTTCCTGTTAGATATAGATAAATAAAAAATGTTTCCTTCATTAGTCCTGATTCGAAAAAATATGTTTCATTTGTTGTTACAGTGACGACTGATAACCACACCATGAAAAATAATTTAAAATCTAAAATTCAAATGTGTAAATAAAAATTTTAGTGTGTGATGTTCATCCAAAAACCAATGAACATAGGACAAAATTTTCAAAGTCGGGCAGAAAAAATCTTGGTGATCACCAAAAAATAATTCTAAAACATTGCTGAGTGAGGAACTCAAATTCAGTTTATTTACAAAATAAATAAGTAAATACAAAAGAAAAAACAGAGAAGAGGTTGATTAACTATTATTTCAAAATCTGAATACATATTTCCCACCGGTACTGATAATACCTACTGGATGAAAAGTAAGACACTTGGAAGTCCACAATTAGAAGACTAAAAATTAATTTGTTAGATTTATAAGAGAGATGACACAAATAAGAAACTACACAGAAATGTTTATGATCTGATAGAATAAAGGTTAACAAAATGCTTGAAATCTTCTTGCAAGAGTAGACTGATTTGTAAGTAGGTGGAGAAAAAAGAGAAAAAAAAAGATGGTTTAACATTTTCATTGTACACATGAAAAAATGTTGTTCCTTATTTGTTTAGGAGCAAAAAATGATACAAATTAAAAATTCTCTGCCTTTTAATAGATGCAGCATAAAAACCACTAACAAGCTTTTCAAAAATCATAAAAAAATTCATCACCACAAAAAGTTAGAGGGGATGCACAATAAAACATATTTTCTGATTAAAATTTTACATGAAAGGCAAATTGAAAATCTCCAAATTCAACCAGTACATGAACAATTAGTGTTTCCCACGCTTGTTGATTCATATATTTTCCTTTTATCAAAAAGTCACAGCCTGCTTGGGCAAAATTGAGCATTAAACTAATTTCAGTGCACCTTATAAATAAATAAACTTCTTAGCTTATTGAAATTTTTAACACGATTTGACATGTACCATGTTTCAGAGACTGAAGAGAGATTTTCACACAGCAGACTTCAGTTAAACGCCGAAAGTATTTTCTCTCTACAGTATTTTTTACCTTTGCTGATTTTGGTCTTTTTCAATGAGTAGGAAATTTGAATTGATTGCTTATGGTGGACACTACAAATGCTAAAATTCTGCTAGTGAGTTAATTTTAAAAAATTAAAATGTGTTCAAAGGGTATCCCAGGATAAGGGCACCAAAATGCCCCTCTTCACGGATTTTGAATTTAATGGTCTAAAACCCTTCAGGAGGTCCTAAAAACAGGGTTTTGGGCAATTTTAACCTCCTGACCCCAACCACCCCCCCTCCAGCCCCGAAAAACCCATTTTTCGGGGAATTTTGGGGTATTTTCACGTTTTATTTCATATCTCCCGCGTTTTTCAATGAAAATGCACCAAAATTTCACCAAATGTACATCAGGACAATCACATTCTTGGGTAAAAAAATCAAATTTATCGAAGTATATTGAGACTCCGAAAAAAATTCGTGAAAATCGTAAATTTTCAATTTTTTCAGATTTTAGCGGTTTTAAAAAAAATGAGGACACATACATTTTTTNACTTGAAGAAAAGTTACATTAAAATGACTTAAACAATAATAAGAAACTTTATAATAAGAACAAAAATTAAACAGAAACTTAATCCTGGATTTTGAGGATAACTTTTCCAACACACTTCTTGTCGTCTAGGAACTGTAGTGCTTCATTAACCTCTTCGAGCTGGTAAACTTTGGATATTGAAGGAGTGATAAGGCCTTGTTCACACATATCTATTACATCTTGAACAACTCTCCTGGATGAACGAAAAAAAAAAAAATAAAAACATTTTTACTATGGATTGAAAACTCGATGAGAAAGATGGATTTCTTCCCCCATTGCACATACATTTTCTAGATGGAAAAAAGCCATGTTGGTTTTTTAATCAACTGAATGATACTCTGCTAAAGAAACCATGCTTCAAAATCTTTAATGTTTTGATGAAAACATTAGACTATTTACTAGGCGATACCTTGGAAAAATGTGGCTCAATAAGGTTGAAAGGTTCCAGTATGAAGATGTGGATATAAATTGTGATTCCTCTCTTTTGTGAAGTAATTTAGAGTCAATTAGCATGAAAAAACTTGATAAATTATGGTCCATACTTTAACGCCGAAAAAGCACGGATAATACATAAAAAAACTTAAAAAACAGTGCATATTTGAATTAAAAACTCAACGTTAAGAATGTAAATATTGGGAAGGAAAAAACTGACCTAATCTTGCGCCTAAAAAATAAAAACATCCCCAGATTCCCCTCACCTTGGCTGTGATCATTAGGCACTTTTTGCAGCCCTAGGTAACAGCTGGACATATTTATAACTGGGGTCGCCCTAATTGCGTGTACGTTGTCTAATTTCTTTTCAAGTTTTATTTTTTTTAACTGAGTATCCAAAAATACAATGTCTTGAAATTGCCAGTAAATTTCCCCTGCCTCATGAAGAATATACTCACAAAACTTTGAGTAAGAATCTTGATTACTGCATTCTTTAAAAAAATGAACATGAACATGAAAGAAAATTGGGCAATGTCTGATGTAGTCAGGCTGATTCTGGTTGAAACCGTTTTGCTTACTCTCCAATTGGAGATGTTTCTACTGCAACATTATGGCTTTTTTTTATGCTGTTTATACCATTTGCAATTGTGCATTGTGCATTAAAACCAAGATCAGAGAAAGCCAGGCTGGTATACAAAACAATCTGTTGGTCACAAGTCCACTTTCGATCGCACGACTCCTCTGCCTTGATTAATGATCTGTGCAGTCTTGTAATGATAACAGCTGTAACTTGATGTGGCAATGCATCAGTGGTGTTTCATTCTTGTCCTGTCTAGTGGTCTATTCAAGACGGTCAGAAAATGACTGTTCTCTCAGAACAGGTTTAGAACTGTAAAATATCTTTCTTTCAACATTCATAGAAGTTCATTTTTCACAGCATCTAGGTATAGAATTTTGGGCGTATAGAATGTATAGAATTTAAGAGTTGTCGATTTTATTCTTATGTGTATTATGAAATTTTTGCTTTCAAAATCTGGAGAGTCATTAGTCTAACTCCATCTATGTATTTTGTTCACCTTGCAAGCTTATCCAAAAAGTTAAAAACCACAAATAATGTCCAACTCACCTATAAATTTTGAAACCAGTTTGTCTGTAATTAGACAGTGAGACTCCTATTAGACTAAATGAAGGTAATTCCAAAAGACTACTTAAAGGGACATCCGATAGCTTTTGGGAGGCAAAGCCAGCCATTAAAACTTTTCCCTCAAGAGCAACACTGTAACAACAAAAAAACGAAGATTTATAAGAATTTTTAATAGGAAGTTGTAATCGGAACAACTATCGCAGGAATTTTTCTCACAAATGGAGGAAGAACAATTGTTTCAATTTTCCTACTATAGTTAAACAGAGATGGTCAAAAACAAATAATGCTAAAGAGAAAACTTTGATTTGTATGGGTGCAAATTTGTTTCACTCCAAAAACAAATAAATGTCATCAATCAAAAAGTAAAAAATATCAAAAGAAGGCATAGGTTATGATTTTTCAGGAAATATTTTTCTTGTCATTGGAGCCACTAAAAAATGAAAATAGTGAGTGACTTCTTTTTTAAAAGAGGAAAACAAGTTGAAAGTTTAAACATACATTGTGTCCTAGGGGTCTTGAAACAATTTAAGCTAATGCTTTGAAGCAGAAAATTGAGCTTTTAAGGTACAAATTTTAAATTCATTTTTCCTCATGCAAAGTTGACCTTTGAGTGAAAATTTTATCAAAACCGTTGACATCAAAATCTTTACAAAAAGCCCATTGCCTCCTTTATTCACAGAGGGATTCAATTGAACTGTACAAGAAATGAAAAATATAGTGAACTTTTATGCTTACCACTTGACAGCGTCTTTAAAAATTGCTCCACCACATGTATCCAAGACAATATCGGCACCCTTATTCTCACTAACTTCTTGAACTGACTTGAGAAGAGTCTTTGGATTGTAAGTAATGGCAGACCATGCGCCTTTATCACGAACTAGGGTAGCTTCGTCTTCTGTGTCACTAATACTAATTACCTGTTAAACAACATTAGATATATGAGGGTATGCATTAAATAAAAAGTGTAATATGCAGAGAAAAAAGCACAACATGAATGCAGCACTGGCATGCTGTAAAATCAGTCCCAATGGTTGCATGATTCAAACATCTCAGTGCCCATCTCTTGCCCTAAATGAATGCACCATAGAAGACATTGTCCCTCCATAAGTTGAAGTAGTATTTGCCATTTAAAAAAAGTGGCCCCGGTGTAAGGATAAAAGGTATGATAAAACATAACGACACTTCTGAACGGCTACATGTTGAGCTTGTTACATACATGAACTGCAAAGTTTATGTTCGTGGGCTCTGTTGATGAACTGATCGAATACAATGATTGACAATTGGAGAGAAGTCCAATTCCCGGTACAATACCAAGGGACTTATTTTTCCAAGATCCTAGTGGCTACAGCTTTGTTCCTTACTATTAATCTGATACTGTCCAAATCAGCATTGAAATAAAAAAAGAGAGACACTGTTGTACTGCTGGAACTAAATGCTGAGAAAAAATAAATAAATAAAAAAAAGTCAGCAGTATGCTTACAGATGCTAAGGAAACAGCTGAGTCACAGCGGCACAGAGGGATCCTACTCTTTTCAATCACCTTCAAATGTTTTAATTGTGCATTTAAACTCTAGCTTCTAAGAGTAGTTTCCTTGAAAGTTCACAGCTTCCCACTAAATGAGGGAGAAAAGTTCCATAAAGATATACCTTAGAGCGTCCCTTGAGTATCCTTTAGGATGAGGATGTGCTCTGTGGTTGGAAATGAATGAACCAATTGTCTATTCATGAAATTGAATGACACAGGAGAGTACAGAGGTAGCAATCGGATGATTTGTCAATTATTTTCTCTTTATTTACTTAGTCAGAGATAACATTCTTACCCCTTCACCATGAAATTTTGTGGATAGCAAATGAACATAATTGTTTTATAAAAAAGAATTTAAAAAAAAGACTATATTACCTTGCCTTTATATACATTAGCCGCAACATCTACAGCAGCTAGCCCTAGACCTCCAGTCTGTGCTGTGATGAGAACAACATTTCCAGCTTTGACTTGAGCTCTTCTTCCTAAAGCGATTAAAGCTGTAGCATAACTGTCACCTAGAGCAGCTGCTGTTTCATACGTGAGCTCACTTGGTATTTTCCAAACATCCTGATAAACAAGGTTCAATTATTAAGTTATGGAAATGGATAAGTTCATGGGGACGATTTTTAAAATATTTTATTTAATGGAAAAAATGTGGACCTAAAACTAAAGGAATCCTTCTGTAGGAAGGCTATTGCTGCACCATTCAAAATTAATAAGTAGTTTAAGTACTCAGATTTGCAACCAACCCTTCACATTGCCAGTCTTATAACAATGAAACCAAAACTCTTCAGATCAAGTTTCAAAAGACATAGATAAAAATGATTAAATTGAAGAGAAAGGCTTAATCTTCTGATTAAACAGCCTCATCAAAAAGTATTTTGCTGATAGGTGCCATAGGTGAGGGTACTGACAATCTGCAAGAAATATTTTTTAAATGAATAAAATAGATATATGATAGTAAGTACCTTCTCGCTGACAATGCACTCTTCTGAGAACCCACCGAAGTCTTCTTTGCTCAGTGCAAGAACGCGGTCGCCAACCTCCAAAACATCATCATCATCTTCGTCCTCGTTGTTCGATTTATCATGTCTTTCAAGAATCTCTCCTGCAACCTCAAAACCGGGTATGAATGGGAGCTTGACTTTGTCCTCGGAAAGACCTTGCGTTAACAATCGATCAGGTGCATTCACTGCGCTGCAATGAACACCAATTCTGACCTGAAATATTGATGGAGAATTAATACTTTTTTTTACAGATAGCTTCCTCACAACTGAATTTTGGTTGCCTCTGAAGCAATTAAAATGGTGATTCAGTCCGCTGAGCCATTTCCGGAAATTTCATTCCACACAAATACAAATTATACCAACTAAATTTTTCATACTTGCCTGTGTTCTCAATATTAATGACTTAAATCACAAGTCATGTGCCTTGACTTACTCTACTGCAAAATTTCTACCTGGTTTGTGATTTATCAATTAGGAAACTAATCAAATAAACTTCATAAAAATGTGCTTGACATTTTCCTCAGTCAGAACTCAATATACCATGAATGCATCAAGCAATTGAGTTTGCTTATTTTTTGGAGAAAGAAATTAAGCAATTTTGATAAACTGTGATCAAAACATGTCATTCGGGTTTAGGCTTCGATATTTATACATAGATACTACGTTGAAAATTGCACCAGTGACTGGGTGAAAGTTTCATGAGACTGAGCGTTCAAAATAGGAGTACTTTTAAAACATTTGCAACAGAGCCTAGAGATGAAGCAAGAGCTTTTACTGCTACAATGTGAAAGTTGTTCAATTGATTTAGAAGCAATGTTCCGCCGTAGAAAGTTAGTAAAATGACGTACCTCGCCTTTTTTCAACTTTTTGCGACTTTTGATTTCCTCCACGACTAATGCTTCTTTAGGTTCCTGGAGAATTGCTGCTTTGAGTGAAGCATACCTTTGACTGCAGAGGTTTGAGGAAGCAAATTTTACTTGCGACTGCCGTTGCAAAAATGACCTTACAATGCGGGGAAGAGCCATCACAAAGCTAGCATAAGAAAGAACTACAAGTTAAACATTATTTGTTAGACATTGAGGGTAACATTGGATTTAAAATTAGCAAGAGACGGATTTGGCCCTGCTATAGTTACCTCCTAATTAATTAGTGACTAATTTTGGAGAAATAATTTAAATTAATAAGGAATTGAACGATAAGTCTCGTAGTATTTACACTGCACCAACTGCACACTCTTATAACCTCAAACCCTACGGCGCCACAATGTTTTCCGATTATCACCAAAAACCAGCTGCTCGCATTCATCGAAGATCAGCTTGGCGGGAAATTCAAACATATCAGCATTCATGAGTTGTATTGCATTTTGCAAAAAGGAACCAAGAGCATTGCAATGTTGCTAAGATTGTAAACGTTCATCCTGTAGGTTAAAGTAATGAAATCATGAAAAAATGTGAAATTTACATGGTAATTTTTGTCTTAAATTTCCAGTTTTTAGGGTGTAAAATAGAAAATTTTTTGTTTTTTCTGTTTTCTTTTAATGTCACATAAAAAAAAAAAAAAAAAAAAAAAAAAAAAAAAAAAAATACTATCCGAGTTTCTGAATCGCTCCAATAAGAGTACATATTTTCCCTTTAATTTAGGTAAAAACTAGCGCAATTAGTCAAGAATGATGACACGCAGTCCTTTATCATTCCTTATTCATTCATTTCACGCAAACTGACCGTCTGCACTGCGTTTGGCGCAATGCGAGAAGTATTCGCGCAGTCTTGTAGGCGCTAATATGGGCTTGACGACGACCGCACTGTTTGGCGCAATGCGTGAAGTATTCCCAAGGTCTTGTAGGCGCTAATATACGTTCAATGTTGCGCGTCGGCCGCACTGTTAGAGTATCCCGCGTTAGAATAATCGCGGCATCGAATAATAGAGCTTAAAAAGCCCGTGTTGTGTTTCGACGCCGTATGAGCATTCCAACGTTGCCTCGTTTCTCCCGATTAAACATTTTTCCCGAGAAAAGTTTTTTATATCCATGACCATTATTCAATCTTCTCACTTCATTTATCATCAGAGAGTAAGGCATCGATGACTTGTTAACAAACTAGGTAATCTAAACTAGCGTTAACATAAAAATGCGTTCATTTTCTAACTGTTTCCTGTTTTGCCAAACTTCTACCTTAAATTAACTTCATTTTAAATTCGCGCATTCCTGTAGCAGATGTTAAGGTTTTTACTCGCGCAATCCTCATATGTTTTCTTAGGCCTCTCTTGCAATCCTGGATTACCGCTGAGAATCGAACCGTGGAGCTCACTTAGGACCAGTTTCTGTAGTGAGGGGGGGGGGGCTGTCGAAATATTTCTCCTTTCACAGTGAGCCAGAAAAAGAGTTCCAATTAAAAAAAATAAAAAAAATAAAAAAATAAAAAAAAAAATAAAAATAAATAAAAAAAAAATGTTGTCTTCAAAAGTAGCGTCAAAGGTATATCTGCCGGAGACATACTCAAAATTTCCGGTTGCATCAACTGATCGTCCGAAACACTTTATGATTGCGCGGAAAAGTTACAGCGTCAAGTGAATGTTTACTGGAAATATTCAGCACTTCCGGTTAGGTACAACAGCATGATCGCCGGAGACACTCTCTGACTGTGCGCGAAGATATACAGAGTCAAGTGAATATTCACCGGTAATAAAGAGTACCTCCAGTAAATGTTCTTTTGACGCCGTGTACTTACGGGCTTAATCAGAGTGTTTCCGGTTATCAGCTGATGTAACCAGAAATGTTGAATACATCCGATGGATATTCCCTTGACGCTTGTCAAGACAACGTGTTTTGGGATCAAGAGGTATCAGTATGCTTTGGAAAAACTTTGTCTGCTTCATTTTGGCATGAGACATTTTTTCGGTATGGTCGCCATCATCAGAGCTTTACTGTGGTATAGCACTCCAGTTCTGATTAAGCCGACAAAGAGTTTTGAGATCAGGAAGAAAAGCTACATTGAGAATAATTTGTCGGTCTCATTTAGGCGCGAGGCATTTTTTCGAACTTTTTGCCACCTTTAGAATACCCCACTACGCGGCAGGAGATCATCAACAACCAACATCAATCAATTTAAATTTAATCGGATAGATTTACTTAAAAAGCTTTTGGTATTAATTTATGGTGTAAGGGTTGCTGGATTTCCTCATTTTCTTGGATTTACAATTAAATGAGTAGTAATTAATTATCTTTGATATTTTGGTTTAAAGTTTTTGGTTAGGCTAATCATTTTCTCATCCGTCTACTTTTATTTGCAGATAAATATTTTTTTTTATTATAGTCTTCTCGGTTAGACTGGCAACTTGAGGTCAGTTGGAAAAATTCTGTTGATTTTAAAAAATCCGTCCATTCTAAAGTGGGGACAGCGATCTCCCGGACTATTGGATCAACGTAGCGGACAAGAGGCGTTCGTTGCCTCCTAGTTAGGGAATCTTATTCATGTATAAAGGTCTCCTTCAAACTGTTTGGTATGCAACACCCATGACACTCGTGCTCGGTTCATTAAATGGAGTTAGTCAACATAGTAAAAAGTTAAGTGATGGCAGGCTGATAAAGTAGGAATTCCGTCAAAAACTCAGGATACGTCTGTTTACAGGTGAGTCTACTTTAAGAAATATTGACGCATTTAAACACACGAAGACTATCTACTTGGGAATCTTCAAAAAAGACATTTGACCAACATTTATAAAAACCTGACGTTGGAAAACACGATTCCAGAAATGATCTGGGTAGTTTCTAGATGCAAACGAACGGAGGTAGCGCAACATAAGGGTCAATTAAGACCGCGAGAAGGGGATGCTTTAATAACATTTCGCATTCAGAGGCTCGGCAATGGTACAGACCATCGATTCTCTTCCGATTGCTTGTGATTAATGGAGTGTCACGCTATAAACCCTTTTTTAAGAGATTGAGGGGGAGAGAACGATACGTAAATGGTAGCAAGAAAGATTTTAAAGGAAGAAGAGGAGAGAGATAAGACGAGAGGGTGTAGAAAATGGAGAAAATGAGAAATTTTAGTGGGGAGATGGTGGGAGAGAGACCGATGCGAGAGGATAAAAATGTGCAGATGAAAAATACTATGAAATACTTATCCTTTAAATGGGTCAAAATATGCATTTTTCAAAATTTGGCAACTTTAGGGGGCTCAATAAAATTACTTATGCATAATTAGTTTCATCGCCACCTCCAACGCGAGATAGGCACTCATTTTCGTTCGCCAGCCAATGCTCACTGGCTTGGAGGAAAGAGGTAGCCAAACCGAGTTGAAATAGGTGTCAATTTACATCGAATTTTAAATGAATCCTGCGCTATATGACAATCACACCGAGAATATCAGGCGGAAGGGGGCTCCGAAGACGCAAACAGAGTGTAAAAACGATTTGATCACGAAGAATGCCAACTACGCGGCGGTTTAACTCATTAACTCCTTAATCCTCCCATTTAACTTCAACCGCGTCATTGCCAGCCCTCCCATGGTGTCCTTCAAAGCTAGAACGGCGGTTCCTCTGCATGAATTTTCCGGAGGATCGAGGGTTTTTCAATTGGACCAATCATAACTATGCACGAAAATTAGGACCGCCAGTTACGACAAGGATGGAAGTAACACAAGAGGTGTTCGCACAGGACACGTTGAATACATTTAAAAATTAAAAAATTACCTACAAACGAACAAATCATCGTTTCCAGTTTATGTCGGAATCAGATGGTCCAAATTTTAAGTTCGCGAGAAAACCAAAATTGAATGTAAGTCACATTATAAATGACGAAGAGGCTAGTTCGTCCAGCTAAAAATAACTAGAGTTTCCCTAAAAAATAAATCCATCTTTTTCTACTGCACGGCCCCTACAAAAATTTTTCGAAAATAATTAATCATATAGGAAATTTGTTCCAATTATGAGGCACGCTAAAAGTAGTAACTCCAAATGTGCTTGAGCCAATTTGTTTTTTTTTTCTCTGAAAAGAGGGTCAGAATTGGCGTATTTTAGCAAAATTCAAAAGGGATAGAGAAACATTAAAGTTGTTGACATGAGTTAAAATTTACTTGGAAGAAGAAGCAAATCTCCTAAATATCTTGAAAAATGTCATTTTTATCAAGATCGTACTAAATCATAACCAATCAAAACTTGTCAAATGGAAATCAGTATTGATTAAATATTGATCGGCGAATATTGAGTTCTACCTTATCCCGCGTAAAATTTACGAAGGATCCGATTCAGTTAGTTCGTAAATTAATTTTCAAATGCCGTATACTTATTTTATACGTAGTCCCAAGTCGCGATGACAAAAATACAACTATTCTTCCTGAATGGATGAGTATGTCACATAAGCAAAATTGAAGGCACGCTGGCGTGAAGCGTGAACTCGCTATGCTCCGCTCTAGCTGCTAGTGAGGTGTCGCTAAAATTCGGGAGAAAAGGTTAAAAAATGAGGCCGGATTACGTCTCTCCTATCTTCGACTGAGTTGCTCACGTAGCCCTTGAAACATCGCTAGCTAATAAAACAAACGGAACCAACTCAACATGGAAATAGAGCAAGGGAAAGGACGCGCATCGATGACGGCGCAGAGATACAACTATTCGTGCTTGATGGATGTCCGTGTTGCGTCTGCAAAATTGAAGGCGCTTTGGCGCGAGGCGTGATCTAACAATGCTCCGCTCTACGTTGCCCCTGAGGTGTCGTGTGTTGCTCATAGGAGCAACAGAAAAGTTGATAAGAGAGACCCGATTAAGTCTCTCCTATCTTCGGCTGTGTCGGCACTCGATTTCTTTTTTAATTTTATGTCTGATTCTTTTTTTACAATACATATGTGGATCTATATCTAAAGGTCGTATGTACCGGCCCCATACAACCCACCAGACATGCGTTTTAATCAAGCACCTGGTCATTTTGACCGGACTTGAGCATCGAAAGGATTAATAAAAAAACTTTCCGGCGTCCACGCCGTGACCAAAAAGCACTGCTGTACGCAAAGAAAAGTTTACCTCCATTTAATATAGCCATGCAAGGATAGGGTTGCATACATCAGAGTGAGCAGACCTCCCTGGCGCCTCCATTCTTTCTTGGAGTGGCAACCTTGTTCATGTATCAGCCCTACCGCAGCAACGAGAATTTAGCTGGACATGAACATTAAACATATGGGGAAGACTCCGATATTTGATATACCAACGTGATTTTGCACTTTTATTTCTTCCGATTGCGGTTG